GTCACTTTTTTGTGAGATGGGCGGTATCTAAATTTGAAATATAAATAAATAAATAAATAAAATTACAAATCCAAAACTGCACAAAATAGCAATTAGCATATTCATTCTTCATAATTAAGGAGCTGTCATCTTAATATCAGAAATATGGGGAGGGGGTAGGGCAGTGGGGAGAAGAAATTCACTGGCTTTAGGGCAACTATGAAGTCTATTTGCCTTCATTCAAGTTTCCAGATCATCTCCTATGAAATTATTACAGAGCTGAAAGGATGTTAAAGCTATATGACTAACAGCATAAACATATACTGCTCCAAAGTTAACTCCTCCACAGCCTTAGGAATTCATTCTTATGCATTAAACTTCAGCTGTTCACGTTAAAGCAGCTGACGTTCAAGAGGGGTTTTTGTTTGATTTGGTTTTGGCAGGTAATTCCATCATCAACTATGAAAATACCTTCAGTGCCGTCCGGCTCTGCCTGCTCCTCTCGCTGCTTCTGCTTGAACTTCATGTTCCCGTAGTGCATGACGGCTCCCGTTAGCTTGTAAATGGCTGTCTTTTCTTCAGCGTTGAAGCCTAGGATGTCAATGGCGCTCTGGCAATTGAATCAAGATAAGTAACTATTCTTTATATTACTTCCAGCTAGAGTACACTAATGGTTTTTAAAATATTTATATGTATTTGTATTATTTACATCCGTAGCCATCAGCTCTTCTTGATCATCTATGCTGGCAACACTGATTTCTCCTTGGCTTACAAACAGAAAGTCATAGGGGTTTGTGCTGATCAGGAGCATCTCTGAAGGAAAAATAAAAGGGGGTTAACTTGCTTTATTCAACATAGATATCATTTACAGCAACAATAGGGATTCAAGGTTAGCATATTCAGCAGCTGCCCCCGGAAGAGTAAAAGATGCCTTTTACCAATCAGCTCAGGCTTCTTGTTGGACATGATCTGATAAAAGATGTGGTAGCTCCTTTCAGCTTTTAGCTGGAAAGTAACTCTAGACTTCTCCAGCAGATCTGCCAAGAAAGGAGAAGCAAACAAGCAGATAAAGAATGAGAGAAAGAAAAAGGGGGAGAGAGGGAAGAAGAATGGGGTGGAGGACAATCCCTTACATGCAAGCACAATCCCTTACATGTCTCAATGTCAGCAGAAGCCAGCTTGCCTGTGGCACCAAAATGGATTCTGATGAATTTGCCCTTTAAAGAAGAGAAGGGATATCATCACAAATCCAAGGTCGCATCTTCTACGTATTTCTACGTAATGCCAAGTGCTATGTTCAGAATCAGTAAGACTTACAAAACGTGAAGAATTGTCATTCCTAACAGTTTTAGCATTTCCAAAAGCCTCCAGTAAAGGGTTGGCACTAATGATTTGATCTTCAAGGGTGCCCTGAAAAGTAGAATTACTGTCAGATTATGTATCGTCCATCCTTTAAAAACGTTACACAATCACAGGTCATTCTTTTCTGGCAGACAAGCTACCTGCATTTTGCCTTGTTGGGCTGGTTCTTCCTTTTTCTTGTCAGTAGCAGCTGCAACTGTCGCAAAGTACTGAATCACACGTTTTGTGTTCACAGTCTTTCCAGCACCAGATTCTCCACTGTTGACCAAAAGGGTAACAGAGTGTTAAGGTGTAACTCATCCTCTCCACAACTGAAATGGGAGCTCCCATAGCTGAAGAGTAAGCAAACTAGGAGATCAAAGGCCACATAAGCCACATAACATGGCTACCCACTTTGAAACTTATGAAGTTTATCTATAGAAATATCTTATGTAATTACTGATCTAATAGTAAAAGCATAAAACAAGGCATTCACATACATGATCAGGTTCTACACTCTGGAAGTCTACAAGTATCCTAAGAAATTGCTTTACACTTTGGGGTACTCTACCATAAAGCAAATACAGAGCTCAGTAAGGAAATAAACTTACGTGATCAGGATTGACTGATTCTCACGATCTGGAAAGAAACATAAAAAAGGCTTTAATGTGAGCAATTAGGCTGAAGGAAAACTATCATTATTAGGGAACTAATTAATTTGTAACTCCAAATGATTCAGCACATTAAGTGTCTGGCCTGAAGAACACATCGTGTAGGAAAAACCTTGAGGCTTCTCATAAAAATACATTCCTTCCTTCAGAACTATCCATCTACTCACCAGTTAACATAGACTGATACGCATTGTCAGAGATGGAGAAGATGTGGGGAGGGGCCTCTTGACGCTTTTTGCCTCTGTAGGCAGTCACCACTTCTGGATTGTATACTGGAAGCCACTTGTAAGGGTTGACAGTGACACAGAAGAGACCTGAGTAGGTCTGCAAAAAATAAAACAGAATTTGCATAATCTATTTTACCTTTTGTTGACAATTTCTTCAAAAGCATCTTCAATAGAATATTTATTAAATAAAATTATAACACAAATAAATAAATGTATTTCCTTGAAACATCAAGAGGACAGAATTTAGAAACAAGTAGTTACTTTGGATTTAAAGAGCAGGGTTACTAATGAATTAATTAACAACAAAGTGGCAACTTAACATAAGAAGTTATTTGGTGTGAGGAGGTAAAGGATTCTTAGGTCTTAAAACCTAGTTCCACCATAAAAGAATAGAAAAAGGCCACCACAGCATATGCTTACGTAGATCATCCAGGCGGCATAACGCTCTTTGAGGTTATACAAGACAGCAGGTTCATGGAGATGAGTCATCATGGCCATGTCCTCAATTTTGTCATATTTGGGAGGATTCATGGAAAAGACTTGATCTTCTTTCACAGTCACAGTCTAGGAAGGAAAGAACAGACCTGTATATATTATCTTAGAAAGTGGAGAGAAGAAAACTATAGCAATTGCACTTTATTTTCTCTGCTCATCTCATGAGATCCTGCGCAATGAAGATGCTTTGGGTCCCTTCTAGGAAACAATGTCATCTAGTGGGACCTTTTATCACAGTGCCTGCTCTATGGAGCCTCGTTCCCCCTGAGGTTCAGACCTTGCTGTAGGGCCTTGAAAACCTGGTTCTTTCTCCAGGCAGTGGGCCAGATCACAAGATGAACCCATCAAAAATGAAAGTGTTTTGAGTGAACTGAACACTGTATGGTGTTACTGTATTTTCCTTTCTGGGTGTTGATGAGGATTTTTTTTTTTTTTTTTGGCAATTATTTTGTGTTTATGTTTTTATCCAATTTCAAGTCATTCAGAGTTGCTTATGAGAGTTAGGCAACTAATCAATCAAATAAATAAATATTTTACTTACTTCTCCATTTTCAGTCTTGACTGTGACTTTCCCTCCTTCCCTGCTCTGGACAGTGCTTTTGATATAAGAGATCTTAGGATCCACCACAAAAACTGAATTCTTAGCATCAAAGGGCTTATTTTGGGCCTCAAGTCTTTCCTTTTCTGACTTTCGAAGAAAGGAAGCAGCTGGCCCGAAAACTGCCATTTCAGCGTCTGAAGCCATAGCTGTAGTTTATGTTGTGCAATTCAACAAGGAAGAAAACTAAAGAAAAGAAACACACAGATCAATTCATGAAAATGTAGAAATCCTTATATTTAACTTTCCCTTTGGCCTTTTTTCACATCATGGGATTTGTTCTTCCTTGACTTGAACCAAAGTTTCTTTTTATGTGGAAGTAGAAGATTTTACTGTTTAGACAAATATTGAATTCTATACCATAAATCTTTTCATATCCCTGAGATCTGTTCAATTATCCGTGATATTAGATTATGTAAACCACTGATGCTGAAAGAACAGCTAGAGCTCACTCACCAAATTACTTGATGAATTTTAACTTTGCTTTTTATTCTGAATTGCCAAGGCAGTTGAAAGGCAGAGTATAAATTAATCAAATAAATATATAAACCAAGCTACTACACTGAGACATTTAAGCAGGAAAAATATGGGAAAGTATGAAAATAGAGGTACTATATTTAAGAAGTAAGGACGCTATAATCTATCGGACAATGACCGTTTGGACAGTGTATTATTTAAAAAAAAAAAAAATGTCCTAATTGTCACAAAAGTTTAGTTTATCTTATTGTTCTCTATATTTAGATTATCATTCTAGTTGCAAATTATCTACTGTTTTCTATTGGTGTCATGCATAAAATGATTGGACTTTAAAGTCCATTAAAGTCCAATTCAGCAGACTTAAATATGTTTACTGGAAAAAGTTTCTGTCCCTGGAAGCCCACTTAAATTTGGCTATTGCAATCTGCTCAGCTAAAGCAGAATGTCTGAACTGTTGGAATTTGAAACTTATACAATGTTTTATTATTTCCATCTGGGGGCCAACAGTAGGCCTACACTGGGAAACACTTTAGAGTAACTCTATATTTGTTCTTGATATATTATTGCTTAACATAGTTAATTTGCAGCACAAATGATGTCCTATGGGAAATTCCATGTCAAAATCTTTTGTATATCCCATATCCTTTAAATGATTGCATGCACCCGCAGTACTAATGCTTATCATGATCCAGAATTTGGACCTGCGTCATAGAGCGTGCTTTGTGGATTTGATCAGTGGTTTTGTGGCAGTGCAAATATTCCTTTAGAAAGTCTGGTAAAACGTACCAATATCTTTGGGGACAGTACCTTAGTTGACTTGTACTAGAATGCAGCCTCAGTGCAAATTATGACACAGCTATACACAGTACACAACCCATTAAAAGGAAGCGCTTCCTCCCTGAACTGCATGCATATCAATCCCTAGTATTTATTTGCCATTAATCTGGCTGTCCCCAGAGATGTAATCAATCAGGGTCTTACCTTGTGTGGTACTATGGATTTAAATGCAGGCTCGAGCTGGCCAATACTGCAAAGTAAAAATGATAGATCCTTTACAAAACGTCCAGTATGTAGCTTAAATGGATGAAGTCAGGTTTTAAATCCCTAGTGACATAGGCAGCCCTGCTCAGTTGTGCCAAAACCAGCAGGAATGAATTGAGATGTGAAGAATTAGGGTGAGTTCCTATTCCTTTTACACCCTCTTACCTTTCAGCTGTTGGTGCAAGGACCTAAGAGGCTGGTCCCAGGGCCACTTATATATGAAGTGATTTGCATACACAGCACCCTCCTCTTCTTCCTAAGGTCAAAACTGTTTCAGTAATCTTAGCAACTCTTAGCAAGATTCTCATCCATATTTGACGCAAATAGATATAATTAGACATATCAACATCATGGATCAGTCTATAAATAATTTGACAAGGAGTATGGAATGTGGATGGGAATTTATATATTGTGCTTTGATTCTGTTATCGGTTTAAACATTTTAAGAAAGAATTCCTGTTCTTTATAAAGTGAAATTTAGAGGCAAGAGACTGAATTAAAGGACCTCCAGCCCTGGATTGGAAATGTATATTCCTGGAAATGGAGCAAGTGGCTAGCAAAAATATTAGAAATTAAAGAGATGGAAACTGTCATCAATACAGGTAGAAAGGAACATGGATTTCTCAGGATCACCAACAGGAGCTAGGACAGTAAGTAAACACGTGAAAGGTGAGGGTAAAAGAAAGAGTGGGTCTAAAGCAAAGTCACAGTGACAGATTTAAGAACACCAGCATTAAGACAGTACGGCCTATAAATGTGAATGGCCTATAAAAGCATGTGGAAAAAATAAAGGGAACACCAGAAAAAGTGTCTTGAATTAATACAAAAATAATTGCACTTCATTTATTGTTAGGATTACACTGAAGAAAAAAGGAGGGAAAAGAAAGAAATGAAGTAGACTAGGTGAAAATGCTGTGTAAAAAGAAGACAGTAGATTCTGATGGAGGCTAATGTATTCCATAAGTCTGATGTTTCTCTATGAGCAACTATAGATGCCTGTAGTCTCAAAATTAAGGAAGGTAAACTGATAAGTGTTTGAGATTATGTATTGCTTGAAAAGATATACCCCCTCTTCAGATAGTGTGAAGGTTGCATTTTCTCGCCCTCTTGAATAATTATAGTCATTATTTTTGTATCTACTGCTCTTCTGCCTAAGAAATGTCTGCAGTAAACATAGCAAAGCATAAAAGTTCTGAGATCTAGAAAGATTTCAGAATTATATTTCCTTAACTAGGGACCATTACTTTTGGCCCAGTTTCATTACAAAGGGCAGAAAAGAAGTCCAAGATTTCTCTGGAGCAGTCATCCTCTTTTGGCAGGGTTGCTCTGACTTTGAGTGATGGGACCTTAGGGGAAGTTTGTGGAGTCACATTTCATGCTTGGCACAAACTTAATTTACAGACGTGTTTGGCATTCCAAGAATCTGAAAGCTGAGGATCAGAAATTCAGCTGGTGTAGGACAGTATTACATTAATGGCCTTCTCAGTTCTGATCTCTTTACACTTACTTACAAAGGGATTTTCTGATTGTTTAAATATCTATAGAGCACCGTACAAACTGTATCCCTTGTATTTCCTGCAGAAAAATATCCTTTTCACCCTAAATTATTTATTACTCAAATAGTTATCCCAGAAGGTAATCTTGAAAATATTCCTAACTTTACATTTTTACCCATAAGAGAATGGCCTTCATGGTGATGAGAAACAATCCCTTTTGTTAACTATAATTTGGTATTCAAAAGGAAATAGTTCTTCCTTCTCATCCAACAAGGTTGGAACTTTCATTACACAGTTGCAGCTGCCATCTTGATTTATTTTTTACACACACACCCTAGCACATGCCCCTGGTTGCTGGTTCAAAACCCATAAAAAACTTCAAAATATATATACTATTATTTTCTTTCCCTACTTAGCTTTCCCTAGCTAACTAATGGCCTTTTAAACAAAAACAAGGGCAAGGTTTCAGTGTTTCAACATTTCGCCCATCCCCTGAGTTAAAACCCTACACTTTTTCAAAGTCCTCAGTTAGCTAGAGTAAGCTGGGTGGATGAAGGAAATACTAATTTAAACAAAAACATTTTACTGGGTTTTGAACCAGCAACCTCTGTACAAATACTTAGCCACAGTGCTTTTCAAAATATGAATAGAAAAAGAAAGGTCTTAGGAGCTCTTAGGCAAAAGAAACTACAGTATTGTCTCAACTGTATTCTCTCCTCTGTAAAATAGCCAGTGAACTGCTAGCTTTAGCCTATAAGGAAGAGCTCCAGCCAAACCGACAATGAACACTAGGAGCAAATTCAGGCTTCAGCAGGAACATGTAAACAGGTCACATTTGCAATGGGAGGGAGATGAGACAGGCTGACATGGTCCATTTCTGTTCTCAAGAAATGGTTGTTGTGCAGTTGTAGGGACAGGGCAACTAGGCAGGGTGGACAAGCCCACGGTTAACAATGTTGCACAACCTGCTTTTTAATGGACTACTGCAATGCACTTTATGTGAGGCTGCCCTTGAAGAGTGTTTGGAAGCTTCAATTGGTGCAAAATGGAGTGGTGCAGGAAGTTACTGGTACCAGTTATTTGGCACATGTGACACCACTGTTCTGCAAGCTGCATTGGCTTCTGGTGTCCTTCTGGGTGCAATTCAAGGTGTTGGTTGTCACCTTTAAAGCCTTTCATGGCTTAGGACCAGGTTACTTACAGGACCGTCTCTACCCAATTGTTTCTACCCATCCTATCTGAACTGGCAGGAAGGGCATACTGCAGGTACTGTCAGCTCGGGAGTGTCGGCTGGCGGGGCCCAGAAGGAGAGCCTTTCCTGCCATGGCACCTGCCTTTGGAACTTCATTCCCTCTGAGATTAGATTGTCCCCGTCCCTGTTGGCCTTTCGTAAGGCCTTGAAAACCTGGCTTTGTGCTTGAACCTGGGGCCCTGGGCGTGGGTTAGGCCCCTGCCCCTCTCCTGGTTATATGGATGATGGATTAGATCATGCCCGGCTGCTATGTGTTTTTAGTTTTGTTTTATATTGTGTATTGTGTATTTTGCATTTTTATTTGTTTTATTGTAAACTGCCTAGAGTCACATAAAAGTGAGATGGGCGGCTAAATAAATTGAATAAATAAATAAAATTTACAATAATTCATTTCTCTTCTAACCATTATTTCTCCAAACATAGAAAAAATATTAGAAGAAAACTTCACTTTATAGAAAAGATGTATTCAGATGAGGTGACATTATCTACATATCTCATTTTTGAACTTACAATTCTCTCTGGTCAATTACTTTGGCAATGATCCAGAATATTTGAGCACAATTTTAGAGTTGGAGACTTCTCTTATTTTGGGAACTGTTCTCTGCAAAAGGTAACTGAGATATGTCTGTCATGGTAATGTAGGTTCGATAAGTCTAAGAAAAGAACCATACAGTATATGCAACACATCTGATTATTTGTATCCTACTGTCTTGTACTCCTTCTGGATAATGGTTGTAAGAATGTAACTTATACATTAAACAGCAGGTTTCAAAAGATAACCCAGCAGCATGTTAACTTCCTTTTTAATCTGCAGTAACCTCAGTCTTGCTCCAAACATCCCTTAGAATCTCTTTTTGATTTCTTGCATATGCAGATCCTGTCTTATATCTCTTCATCTTTCTCTCCACTGCCAGAATTCTCCCCACACATGCTTCTTAAATACACTGATAATGATGATGATGATGCTATCCATTCCATTGTGTCCGATTCTCAGCAATTCTATGGACCAGCTCTCTCTACATTTTCCAACATTATATGACTTCTTTCAGTTGTTTTCTGCTCTGGTTGGTGTCGGCTTTGATGATGTCTCGCCACGGTGCTTTTTGGCAGCCTTGTTTCCTTTTACCACTGACCATTCTGAGCATAACTGCCTTTTCCAGTGAGTTTGCTCACATGACATGGCCGAAATAATTAAGGTGGAATTTTGTGATTTTGCCTTCCAGTGATATGTCTGGTTTTATACACTCCAGAACTTGCTTGTTTGTCACCTTTACTATCCAAGGAATGCGCAGAAGCCTTTTCTAGCACCACATCTCAAACAAGTTGATTAATTACATTACACTATTGCTTGTAATATTATTGCTTTAGGATTTAGGATTACTCTTAAATCTATACATGCCTATGAATATTTTTGAACATAAACTTTAATTTAATCCTTTGAGTACATATTCTCAGACAATTCATTCTTGATTAAGCCATAATATCTTCAGTATTGCAGCACAGCTGTGTTAGTCTATAGTAAGCAAAAATGAGGAGGAATTTGGTGGCATCTCTTCAGACTAAATTTTATTGAAAGCATAAGCTTTCATGAATTGCAGTTCATCCGATCCATGGAGTGGCTAAACCGATGTATGATTTAAATTGGGATGAAACACGGTGGAAACAGAGGAAAAGTCAGGGTGACTATGCATATTACATATGGGACAGTTTATAAGGACCTTATCAGTTAACAGTGTAATGTGTTAAACATCCATTGTATTTGTTGAAGTCTTCTGAGATTGCCTGAAAGTTTTGGGTATGTGATTTCAGCAGTCTCTCACTCAGCTATACTGTTAAAGATTTTTTGTTCCAAAACAGTTACTTTGAGATTAGTAATGGAGTGTCCTGGGATGCTCTGATATTACTTTGTACTTGTTCTGAGTGTTGACATCAAACCTGATACCATTAATTATTTTGTACAACATCTGGCTTCTTTGTCCCACATAGAATCCTATCACTGGAGAAATGTTAAAATAAGGAGGTGGTTTGCTGTGGAGTGAATGTATGACATGTTGCTTCTGCCCACACTAGTGTGTGGAAGTGAGAGGTGGGTATGTCAGGAGTAATATACAAGGTGAGTGCAGTGGCAATGGGGTCCTTAAGAAATGTGAATGGTTAAACAAAGAGAATCAAAAGTTTGTGAGTATTGAATTAATGCGGATTGCAAAAAAATCATATTTTAAGATGGTTCAGTCATATGAATGAGGATCAAATATCAGAAAAACATATGCAAAGGAAGAAAGAATGGAAGACAAGAATGTCATGGTTGGATGGAGTCGGTGAAATTCTCAAAAAGAAATAGGTGAGTAGCTTAAAGGCCAAAAGCAACATTTGTGGGGGAGTATATTATGAAGAGAAACGATATAGTAAAACAAGTATGTTTTGCAAGGATATTGAACGTTTAGGAAATGATATTGGCTTGAAGTAGATTTTGGTATATTTTCTTTTCTTATTTATTCCCTTTAATTTCTTACCGTCTTTCTACCCAGGGCATAATATTGCTTTATCCCAGAAGGGAATAATGTGATGAGTATCTATGTATTGTCAACGCTTTGTAGCTGGCAAGATAAAGGAATCAAGAACTACACAGATTTCATAAGGTACCTTTAATGCTAGTTCTGAGCAAATACAGAATCTCGGAATTGTAATAGAAGTTCCCCAGTCTCATTTATTAAGGCAGAATCTTTCTGAATACTTTGAAATGCTTTTTCCCCATTTTCCCCAACTTGAGCTGAATTGTCCTTTATGAGGTAGATAGTCTATGAATTGACTCACACATTGTTATCTCTTCCTTTTTTTTCTCAGCCACCGTACAATCTCTCACAGCATGCAACAATCAAAAATAGAGTTTAGATAATTAAATTAATAGTTTCATTCCTTGATCACGCTGTTTCAAAAAGTAATAAATAATTCTAAACATTGTGACACGCAGTGTAAACATAATCTGTCTTCCTCAGCTGTCTGCAGTAAAATCCAACATATTACAATTATTCAGTTCTTGATGGACCAATGGCTAAGAAAGGCAAAGAAACCATGTGTCTTAAGAACCATGGGGATGTGTAATTTTAAGCTGATACAATGGAAATATGACAGAACTGGAAAGGGTCCTGATGTTGGTGAGAAATCAGAAGTTTTAGAAATTTGAACTGAATCTTGTTCATGGAGAGCATCACAAGACTGATACATGTTGTCCAGCCAGTGAGGGAATGTCTAGAAGTGCTCCATGTTAGAATTCAGTGTCATACATTGAACAATGAAGCTTAATGAATACTTAATTAAATTATGGAACTTGTTACCTTTTGTTGTATTTATGGCTACCAATTTAAATGATTGTAAAACAAGGGATTAGGAATACATGGACAAATGGGCTAGAAATGGCTACCTGTCTTGATGTCATTATATTGCACTGAGAATCACAGGCAGCATACTTTAAATATCATGTACATGGGAACAACAATAGAAGCAAGCTTTAGTCCTGTCTGTGTTTTGACATCCCAAATGCAATGTTTGACATAGGATGCTGGACTAAGTGAGCTCTTAACCTGATATGGTAGGATCTTCTTAGGTGGGCTATGAGAAAACAGATTATCAGCTTAAGCTACCCTGAGACATTTATATAGTAAGAAGCAAATCTAGTGCTTTTTTACCATTAATCCTACAATGAAGCAATCTCTGCTTTGAAGAGCTATGGTATTTAGCTCCTATAACAAACTAATAGAATAATATATGTTTTTGTCAACCCCACTAGGTAGACCAGGAAATCAACTCTGCAGGAAGGCTAAAACTACTTTTACTGAGAGTGTCTAAACTTGCAAGTTTGATTATGCTCTACATCCTTCTCCTTCTTATAGTCCAGGGAATTAGAGGGGCATCTTCTTGAGCCACTTCTGAATGTTATCTCATTGTTCTGGATTTTAAAAAATACTTCAGCCCCTTTTGCCTAGGTAACAGTTCCTGCGTATCTCTGTCAAGGTCATCTTCCTTACTCTCTACAATTTCAAAACACATTTTTTCCTTCTGTGTATTGGGAAGTTCATTTTTATTAAGGGGGCACAAGAAAAAGATGTATCAACAAGCATAGTAATAATTGCAAAATAAATCACAACAATTGGTTTTTCCATTTGCTATAACCTTTATTTTCTAGAAATTGAGGCAAAATAAACAATAATTACAGGGAGTGACAAAGAGCTTCACATTTTGT